GTTCTCCTGGAGCGCCTTGGATCATTCCCTGCTGATTAAATAAAATAAAAAAAAAAAACAACCCTAATTACTATTCATCATAATACCAAAAAAATAACCAAAATTCTACAAAAGACAAAACAATATACAAATCATCACTAATAAAATATAATCTTTAAATAGTCGCCAACTACAAATAAAATTTTTAATAAGTTATGTCACCCCATTATAATTTTATCAATATTAATTAAAATAAGTTTAAGATTATCCTTTATATTACTAATTTAAAATTAAAGAATACTACAGCAAATAGCTATATTAACCTCCTTATCAAATATACGTAATAAAACATTAAAAAAACATATTATTATAATAATTTACATTAAATTAGAAAATTTACTTATATATAAAAAAAGAAAGGATGAAACAAAGTAAAATTTAACAGAGTAGAAAATCCATCTAGATTTAAGGAAAATATACTGCATAGTAGCTTGCTAACATAAAATCTGCTATTTAGTCTATTAACTCTGCTGTGTGTAAAACTGTCTCAGCCAAAAAACAAAAAAAATACAGTTTCCAAAGTAAAAAAATAAAAAGGGCCCTTTAAACTCTAAAACTAAAAAAAAATAACTACAAAAATAAACAAAAAAACTAAAGAGTTCTCTATACAAAGAGCTAACTGCAAATTAAAACTCAAAATCAACAAAATAAATATGCATAAACCTATTATAAAATTATATATATATATGAATTAGTGCAAAATAATAAAAAAATCAAAAATCAAAAAAAAGCCACATATACCTTTTAAAAGAAATCCTTGCAACAAAGAAATCCCAGTGTACGCCCAGCGCTAAAAAAATAAAATTAAAATTTACCATTCCCTATAAATCTTGATTTAAATTATAAAGTTTTAATTTTTCATCCACATTTTTTCCTGGGGTAGGAATGGGAATTTCCCAGGGCAGGGAATGGGAATGGGAATGGGAATGGGAATGGGAATGGGAATGGGAATGGGAATGGGAATGGGATGGGAATGGGAATGGGAATGGGAATGGGATGGGAATGGGAATGGGAATGGGAATGGGAATGGGAATGGGAATGGGAATGGCCCCTCCACCTGCTGCAGGGAAGGATTCCAACCCCCCACTCCGTTTTTCAGGACAAAGCCGGTCCGAGGCAGCGATGCCGACGTTGGCTCGGTGGGGAGCAAAGCTCCCAGCAGGGCCTTTGGGGGACCTTTCCCCTTTTCCGAGCATTCCCAGTGCCTGACAGGCAGGAGCTGAGGGCTGGACGTTCTCGACGTGCCTCATCCATGAGGAACATTTGGTTTGGATCAAAACCCCATCGCACCAGCAGCGGGATCTCCAGCCCGGGATTACGAGTAATTCCAGGTTATTATTAGCAATCACTTTTCATCAAGCACTGCAGCCACAAGATGCAGAACAAGCCCAGCAGAAAGAGACTGAAATATGGGATTCCTATTCCTTAAAAAAAATCAAATTGTGCAATGCAAACCAATCCCGGGAATACAAGGAATCCTTTACTTTGTCTTCATTTGTGTCGCCAATTCAAGCTCAGTGGAAGACAAAAGTTCACAGGACCATCAAAGTTGGAAAAGCCCCCCAGGATCATCGAGTCCAAGCTGTGACTGACCCAGCCCAAGGTGCTGAGTGCCACGTCCAGTTTGGGAACCCCAAACCTCCCTGGGCACCTCTTTCCTATGTTTAACAACCTTTTCCAGGGGGAAATTCCTGCTGATCCCAGCCTGACCCTCCCCTGGCAGAGCCTGAGGCCATTTCTCCTCGTCCTGTCGATAATTGCCACCTGATATCGGGCATTAAACCATCGTAGCTTCTCTGTGACACAGCCAAACCCACCCTGACTTCCTGCACACAGAGCCAAGCTGTTAAATCCCTGGAATAATCAGATTTGCAGCAGGTTTTGGCCAAGTTTATGGAGCTGTAGCCAGATCCAAGCGGCTCTGTCGGGGCAGACTCCTGGGTAACTCCAAAATTGCCTTTTGGAACAAGTTCTGACACCCCTGCCCCGCTGCAGCCGGGGTTCTTCACCTGGGCTAAGCAAATTAAAGGTTCTGCTCAGCCTCTCCCTGGCTTTGCTTTTCTCCTGCCGGAGCCACGGCGGGGAGGGAGGGATGGAGGAGGGGATGGAATTCTGCGGTCGGGTTTAATGTGCACCTGCCGGGGAGCTGCTCCGGAGGGCTGCGAGGGCGGCTGGCCGGGGGCCAAGGCCTCCCCACAGCCGGGTTTGAATCCTGAAAATCCTGGAGCGCTTCCCGTGGGTTGGGAGCAGCCGAAAATCACACCGAGCAGGAATCGCCGCGCCCGGCTGGGCACCGGCCCCAAGGAGTTGTGGATTCCCATCCCTTGGGAGCCTGGAGGGGACTTGGAACAGCCCGGGATGGGATGGGATGGGATGGGATGGGATGGGATGGGATGGGATGGGATGGGATGGGATGGGATGGGATGGGATGGGATGGGATGGGGTGCGATGGGGTGCAATGGGGTGCAATGGGGTGCAATGGGGTGCAATGGGGTGCAATGGGGTGGAATGGGATGATCTTCCCAGGCGAAGCACCCCCTGACAGCCCGGACCCTCGCGGTGTCCCCAGCGTCCTTTTGGGACCGGGAGCGCTGGGGAAGGGTGGGGGGACCCCAGGGAAGGGAAGGGAAGGGAAGGGAAGGGAAGGGAAGGGAAGGGAAGGAAGGGAAGGGAAGGGAAGGGAAGGGAAGGGAAGGGAAGGGAAGGGAAGGGAAGGGAAGGGAAGGGAAGGGAAGGGAAGGGAAGGGAAGGGAAGGGAAGGGAAGGGAAGGGAAGGGAAGGGAAGGGAAGGGAAGGAAGGGAAGGGAAGGGAAGGGAAGGGAAGGGAAGGGAAGGGAAGGGAAGGGAAGGGAAGGGAAGGGAAGGGAAGGGAAGGGAAGGGAAGGAAGGGAAGGGAAGGGAAGGAAGGGAAGGGAAGGGAAGGGAAGGGAAGGAAGGGAAGGGAAGGGAAGGGAAGGGAAGGGAAGGGAAGGGAAGGGAAGGGAAGGGAAGGGAAGGAAGGGAAGGGAAGGGAAGGAAGGGAAGGGAAGGGAAGGGAAGGGAAGGGAAGGGAAGGGAAGGGAAGGAAGGGAAGGGAAGGGAAGGGAAGGGAAGGGAAGGGAAGGGAAGGGAAGGGAAGGGAAGGGAAGGGAAGGGAAGGGAAGGGAAGGGAAGGGAAGGGAAGGGAAGGGGTTACGCCGCCCGCTCCCGGAGCGGTGCAGTTGCTCACGTCGCTCCGCAGCGCGGGGAGCGGAGCGGTCCCGCCTGGGAAAAGCGGGATAAAGGTGGGAAAGGATCCAGTTACACAATGGGAGGGATTGGGGCCGCCCTCGCAGCCGTTCCCAGCCGGGAGCAGCTGAGCAGAAAGCGGGAGGAGCGGGGGGGTCACTGACTTTAGGTCCCCCTTTCTCTTTTTCATCGTTTATTTTCTCATCCCCCTCGATTTTCTTTTTCTTTTTTTTTTTTTTTTTTTTTTTTTTTTTTTTGAGGGAGGTTGGATAAAAACCTTAACACCTTGGGAATAGAGGAACAGCGGCACAAAAGGCCGGGCTGTGCAATTTAATAGCGGCTGCTGAATGGGAATGGAAAGAAGGGGGTGATTCTCCCAGGGCTAACAGTGCCTTTCTTTTTTCTCTTTCCACGCATCAGGCAGGAAAAGAAACCCGCCAGCGTTTCACCTCTAAGGGAAGCCACGGGGAAAATCTTCCAGCAGGTTGTGCCAAGCTCTTAGGAACAAATAGGGAAACTTTTTCTTTTGGTTTTTGGGCTTTTTTTAATGGGCTCCCTAGGCTGCATGGCAGCTGTCACCTGAGATAGAGAGGAAGGAAGGTTTTAGGGAAAACCTTATCCCATAATGGGTGTTCTTGTATCCCTAAACCTTCTAACAACAGTTTTGAAGGGCATGGCACTGATTTTGGGGCAGTGGTTCCACCTCTGGCTGTTCCTTTTTTCCTTTAAAACCTGATCCAGGATTGAAGCCAAGCTCCTCTGCCACCAAACTGCTCGGAAATCCCACAGCGAGGGCAGAATGGAAGTTTCCAGGGAATTTTGAGCCCTTGCTACCTTCAACATGCAAAAGAAAAAAAGGCAAATGTGCACTGGTAGCACGGGACTCCGAGGTTTTGGGCAGAAATTTGCTTGTATGTGTTCCCTGACAAATTTGACAGCAGCTCAGCGCATGTCCCTCACTCCTGAAATCATCCCCTCACTCTTTTAAAGCAAAATAATCAAAGTTCTGCCTCCACAGGGTCTCTTTGGAACTCTTAGGGTTCAACTGGTGTTTTAATAATTTAATATTTAATATTAAAATGTTAATATTTGAATATGAAACCCAACACCACTGACGGGGTCCCCATGACACCAAACTGAGCCTCGCTCACCTCCTGCTCCTGCTCAGGAGAGGAGAGGAGAGGAGAGGAGAGGAGAGGAGAGGAGAGGAGAGGAGAGGAGAGGAGAGGAGAGGAGAGGAGAGGAGAGGAGAGGAGAGGAGAGGAGAGGAGAGGAGAGGAGGAGAGGAGAGGAGAGGAGAGGAGAGGAGAGGAGAGGAGAGGAGAGGAGAGGAGAGGAGAGGAGAGGAGAGGAGAGGAGAGGAGAGGAGAGGAGAGGAGAGGAGAGGAGAGGAGAGGAGAGGAGAGGAGAGGAGAGGAGAGGAGAGGAGAGGAGAGGAGAGGAGAGGAGAGGAGAGGAGAGGAGAGGAGAGGAGAGGAGAGGAGAGGAGAGGAGAGGAGAGGAGAGGAGAGGAGAGGAGAGGAGAGGAGAGGAGAGGAGAGGAGAGGAGAGGAGAGGAGAGGAGAGGAGAGGAGAGGAGGGCGCTGGAGCCGTGACTCAGCCCCCATTGAAGTGGCTGCCAGAGTTACTTTTGATTTAATCAGGATCAAACCCTCTGGGATTATTCCTGCTTCCAAACTGGACCGGGGCTCTGAAGTGGAGAAACCACAACGCTTTGCGGGGCTGCTGCTCCTTTTTCTTGATTTTCTTTTTTCTTTATTTAATGAATTTGGCTCGCTGTCCCAACCCGGAGCCGAAACCCGAAACCCGCCTGTTTCAGGGCTTTTGGCGCACGCTCGGAACATCTGGCACAGCTGTTCCTGTGACCCCCGGGCAGCAGCACAGCCCCGCTCCTGTTCCCGTTCCAAAGGGAGCCGAGAGCACCGGCAATGAGGCAGCGCTGCCCCAGCCTGGAGAGATCGGAGCAGGGATGGGCAGGATCCAGATGAGCCCATTTTCCCAGGGGAAAAAAACCAAAAAAGCAGGAATGAGGCAAAGCAGCGGGCGCAGCTTCTGGAGATCCATGGAAAGAGCCTCCTCCTGCTTCTCTTTAAATTCTTCCTTATTTTAAATTCAGCTGCCACAAACCCGAATAAATGCCCCGAAATGGGGACTTTTGCACCTCCACTTGAATGGGATTTGTGGAACTGGTTCGACCATGGGAATTCTGTGCCTGGATGGATCCATGGATCTGTGCAAGCTGGATTTCCTTGCCTGGAAAAACCACAGAGCTGAGAGCCCCTCCCTTCCCAGAAAAGATCTTGGGGGTGGCAGAGTGAGCCCCAAACGTGCTCATGATCCAAAAATCCCAGCTCGGATCAGCCAGAGCTGATCTCTGAATCCTTGGGTTTATTCTAAGCTGCAGGAACTTGTCGCTTTTTATCTGGAAATCTTTCAGCACTCACATTTCCCGATTTCCTTTCAGCTCTAAGGTTTAAGAGCCCTGCTGCACTTTCATCCCCGAAACACGCAGAGCTTTAATTGTCTCTGGGATGGGGGATAATCAATCCTGCAGCGTGTTAATCCTCCTTCCGTGCCCATCAGAACCGAGATGGAATCAGGCGTTAGGGTGCCTCCTCCCGTTATGAAATCTGAAAACCAGGATTGAGTTTGGAGCAGGGAGGAGTGGGGTGAGGAAAACCGCGAAACACTTAAAAATTGGGGTTTGGGGCGCAGCAGAAGGTTGGACTGGGCGATTTCCCAGGGGGAACGGCGCAGGTGAGGGGAGCTGAGGAGGCGGCAGGCGAGGTTTGGGGCAGGGAGGGATTTGGGATTTGCATGTGCCTACGTGAGCGCAGGGATGAGTCCCGGGGCAGGAGGGAGGCACCGGCAGCGCAGGGAGCGGTGAGAGCTGGGGCAGGAGCGAGGGATCCCTGCCAGCCCCATCCCCATCCCCATCCCCATCCCCATCCCAATCCCCATCCCCATCCCCATCCCCATTTCCTGCCCCATCCCCATCCTCATCCCATCCCATCCCATCCCATCCCATCCCATCCCATCCCATCCCATCCCATCCCATTCCCATCCCATCCCATCCCCATCCCCATCCCCATCCCCATCCCATCCCATCCCATCCCATCCCATCCCATCCCATCCCATCCCATCCCATCCCATCCCATCCCATCCCATCCCATCCCATCCCCATTTCCTGCCCCATCCCCATTTCCTGCTCCATCCCCATCCCCATCCCATTCCCATTCCCATCCCATCCCATCCCATCCCATCCCATCCCATCCCATCCCATCCCATCCCATCCCACCCCCAGCCCCCCAAATCCGCCCCTTCCCCCCTCCCGAGCCGCCCCACGCCCGGGGTCTCTCTGGCACGGGTGGGAGCACCTTTCCCTACAGGCCCGGTGATTTTCTTTTGGGGTGGGGGCGCTTTAGGACGGCGCTGTCATTTCCTCGAGCTCCGTGACCCTCCCACCTCCATCCCCTCCCTTTCCCACCGCTCCTCCGAGGATGAACTTTTCGCTCATTGTTCTTTGGCAGGTACTTTTAATGGGCTGGAAAATATTCTTCCTGTGAAGTTGCAGTTTTGTGGGGCTTGAATGAGTCCAGTCCTCCCCTGGCTCTGCCCAGCGCCACCGATTGGCTCGGCAGCCCGGGGGGGACCGATAAGGGCGGCTATAAAAGCCCGGCAGCTCCCGGTCCCCCAGCGAGCAGCAGCCGGAGGGGCCGCCGGGATCCTCCGCACATCCCCGAGCTCGCCAGGATCCTCCCTCCTTCCTTCCCTCCCTCCTGCGAGCGCGTATCCAGCTCCACATCTTTGCTCAAGCCCGAGTGGAAGAGGAGAGGCGCACACATCCAAAAAAAAAAAAAAAAAAAAAAAATCAACCTCTAAAAAAAAAAAAAAGAAAAAAAAAAAAAAAGGAAAAAAAAAAAAAAAACCAAGCCAACCCCACACTTAGCGGAAACTTGTCAAAGAATGCTCCTCCAGTCTGGTTTGCTGCTGCTGCTGCTGCTCAGTGCATCCGCATCCCACGAAGCTGAGCAGAATGACTCTGTGAGCCCCAGGAAAGCGCGGGCGGCAGCGCAGAACTCAGGTAACGCCAGCGAGCAGGGCTCCAGCTGTCTCAGATTCCTCTGCTGCTGATTTTTCTTCTTCTTTTTCATATTTCCCCCTTTTTTTCCCTCCCTTATCCACTGGCCGGCGGGAGGGCTGTTCCTTTCGGGGCTTGCAGGGCTGGAGCCGGAATCTGCCGGGGGAGCCGGGGCAGGGCAGCGCTGCGAGGATGCGATCGGGGCTCTCCCTCCTCCCGCAGCTCCCCAGCGACTTCCGAGCACTTTGGGGCATTTTTATTTCCCTTCTTGCATGCGTCCCTCTCCCTTCCCCGCTGCACGCCGCTCCGCTCTTCAAGCTTTGCTTTTTGGGAAGTTGGTCAAACCCGCGGCGCTGGGATTTGGAGCGATCCCCATTGCTCTGTGAACATCTGTCTGTTCAAAGAGGGGCAGCAGCACCCCAAAACTGTCCCCAGCTCGCTGCCATTGTCACAAACCGATCGCATCGGGGACATTTTCCCAGCTTGCTTCCACAATGGAGCAAAAAAATCAAAATTGCTTTGGCCAGCCAGCCCTGGATGTCTGAACTTCGCTGCTTTAGATAACTCGGAGACATTCTCTGGAACAAAGGGAATTAAAAATCTGCCTTCTGCTGCGCCGGGAAGATATTAACGTTTTAATTCGGAGCTCATTAACAGCTGCCCGAATTGAGATCCGCACGGCTCTGCGGCGTTGGAGGGGGGTTTGCTCCATTTGCTTTTGTATTTTGTTGCTATAGGAACGTGGGGTCTCCCTCTCTCTCGCCCCGAGCCCGGAACAATCCGAGCCGGAGCCCGCTGCGAGAGAACTTCTAATTAGAACCTGTGCAAAGCTAATTACGGGGCTGGCTCGTGCTGCGGGAGGTTATGAACCGGGCAGGGATGAATTACCAAATATTCCTCCCTTCAGGCACGTCAGCAGGAGCGCGGAACGACCAGGGGTTAATTGGGGGATTTTTTAAAATTTTTTTTTTTAATTTTTTTTTTCTTTTTTGAGGGTAAAAAGCCGCTTGTAAAGAATCCTCTTTAGGACACAATCAGATTTAAGGAGGTGTGTTCTCTCCCAGTAAAGCCCCGCTTTCCCCACACCTCAGGGCTGGTTTGGGAGCCTGGGCTCGCATTTCTTCCCCAAGAATCTGGTAACATGAGCCGCAAAAGCGCTGAACGTGCCTTGCCCAGGCGGGAGGGGACAGATGTTCGGCTCGCCCAGAAAGGTTAATCCCGGCTAATTTCAGGGCAATCATGCGGCAATTCTGCTGATTCACTGCTAAAATCCACTGGATCTGCTCAGAAAAAGCCGGGATGACACGGATCCCCTCCGCTCTCCGGGCTTGAATTATCCCCGGAGCTGCATTACCTGAACTTTCTCTGCCCAAATTTCCCTTCTCCTCCTGAATCTTCAGCAAAAATTACCTTTTTGGCTGTGCCTGCGAACTCGCAGGGCAGTTTTAGCACCAAGCTGCTGGATCGAGCCCTTTAGGGTGATGAGAATTGACTAAAATCTTCTTTCTAGGTGATCCGGGCATTTTAAAAAAGCACAAGTGCCTCCCAGTAATTGGGATTTGCTGCCAACTTGTTGGCATTTGCCAACACTTGCATCTCATTTTCCAGTGGTTTTGTGGCCCAGGTGCTGCCAGGCTGCTCCCCAAGGGAGAGATCTCAGTGCTCAGAGCTTTCCATGGGCCCATCCTCATCCCTGCTCCTTCTTCAGAGGCAGTTGGGGTAAAATGTAAATGCCTGAAGAGAGAATTAGGTTGGGATGAGCATTTGGGTCCCCATTTAAGCAAGGGCTGTGAGGTGTCACCTCTTTTAATCTGTTTTTCTTTTTAATCCTTGAGGGGTTTGATAGCTGGAATTTCTGTTCCTTGGGGTGCTGGTCACGTCTTAGAGAATTCTGGAATTGTAGAATTGTGGAATTGTAGAGTCATGGAATTATAGAGTCATGAAATTATAGAATTATGGAATCCTGGAATTGTTTGTGTTGGAAGGGACCTTAAAGCTCATCCCATCCCCTGCCATGGGCAAAGACACCTTTCATTGTCCCAGGGTGCTCCAACCTGGCTTTGGGCACTTCTGGGGATGAGAAATCCAAACTTCTCTGGGCACCCTGTACCAGGGCCTCAGCACCCTCCAAGAAAGGATTTTCTCCCTAATATCTGACCTAAATCTCTCCTCTTTTAGCTTAAAACCAATCCCAGCTGTTCTAGCACTGTGCATATGAAAAGTCGCTCTCCCACTTTTTTCTAATTGGCTTTTCCGTACCAGAAGAGGCTCTGAGGTCTCCATGGAGCTTTCTCTTCTCCGTGGCAGAGGAATCTGGTTCTGTGGCAGAGAAATCTGGTTCTGTGGCAGGGAAATCTGATCCCATGGCAGAGAAATTTGAGTTGATGGCAGAGAAATTTGAGTTGATGGCAGAGAAATCTGAGTCCATGGCAGAGAAATTTGGTTCTGTGGCAGGGAAATCTGAGTCCATGGCAGAGAAATCTGAGTCCGTGGCAGAGAAATTTGGCTCTGTGGCAGATTTTGGAGCATTGGAGAGGGTCTGAGCCGTGTCCCTCCCCACGGTGCCAGAGCAGGGTTTAGCCACGGGCTGGGCTCACTTTAGGTTTAGGGTTAGGTTTAGGGTCAGGGTTAGGGCTAGGTTTAGGGTCAGGGTTAGGGTTAGTGCTAGGGTCAGGTTTAGGGTCAGGGTTAGGGTCAGGGTTAGGGTTAGGGTTAGGGTCAGGGTTAGGGTTAGGGTTAGGGTTAGGGTTAGGGTTAGGGTTAGGGTTAGGGTTAGGGTTAGGGTCAGGGTTAGGGTTAGGGTTAGGTTTAGGGTTAGGGTTAGGGTTAGGGTTAGGGTTATGTTTAGGATTCGAGTTAGGGTTAAGTTCGTGGTTTAATGTTTGGGTTATTGTTTAAGATCAGCGTTAGTTGTTATTGTAAGTGTTAGGATTAGGGTTAGGGTCAGTGTTAAGATCAGGTTTTATTTTAGGATTGGTGCGTGGGTTAGGTTTAGGTTTAGGTCTCCGTGTGCTGGGCTCGCTCCCCATGTGCTGGGCTGGTTCTCCATGTGCTGGGCTCATTCTCCATGTGCTGGGCTGGTTCTCCATGTGCTGGGCTCTCTCTGGGCTCTCTCCCCGTGCTCTGGGCTTTCTCTCCATGTGCTGGGCTCTCTCTGGGCTCTCTCCCCGTTCTCTGGGCTCTCTCTCAGTGTGCTGGGCTCTCTCTGGGCTCTCTCTGGGCTCTCTCTGGGCTCTCTCTCCATGTGCTGGGCTCTCTCTGGGCTCTCTCTGGGCTCTCTCTGGGCTCTCTCCCCGTGCTCTGGGCTCTCTCTGGGCTCTCTCTGGGCTCTCTCTGGGCTCTCTCCCCATTCTCTGGGCTCTCTCCCCGTGTGCTGACCCTGCCCTGCTCTCTGTCCCCAGCCGAGGTGGTCCGCTGCCTGAACAGCGCTCTCCAGGTGGGCTGCGGAGCCTTCGCCTGCCTGGAGAACTCCACGTGCGACACGGACGGGATGTTCGACATCTGCAAATCCTTCCTCTACAGCGCTGCTAAATTCGACACTCAGGTACCGGGCACAAAGGGCGCGGGAATAAAACCCGACCTGCAATCAAACGTGGCCAAAAATGAATCAAACCCGGCCGAAAATAAAACCCAGCCGAGAATAAACGGGAGCCGCCTTTTCATGCCCCTGACAAGTCCCGCGGGTTCTAAAGCACCTCCGCTCAATGCCTGCCTTAATTTAAGCTGTGCTTTGGGCAGGATTAACCCTCCCCTCCCTGCAGCCCTTCCCGCTGCTCGGCTGCTCCTCTCAGCCCCCAGTTTTGGCTCCAAACGCATTCTCCAGGGCTCTTTTTCCACCCGCTCCCTGCTCCCTGTGAGGACTTGGCACGGAGGGTTCCACGGGGTGGAGAGCGAGGTTTCCTCTCCAGGAGGAAATAGAAATGTTCTTCTAACAAAATAAATCTCCTGCCTGTGTGAGCTGGCACAGGGCTGGGCTTTGGCTTGGAAGTGTTTGGGTCTGGGAGTGCGTGGCCAGGTTGGGGCTGCAGGGAGAATAAACGGGGGAGTATTGGAGGGCTGGGCTCTGCCAAAATCCCTTTCCCTCCGTGCTTTCCTCCCCAAATTCACACAGCCCCTTGCTCCCCGTGCTCCTGCTCCCAAGGACAGGTTTAAAAGCTGGTGGAAGCTCCTAGGGTCTGAACCAGAAGCGTTAAACTGCTGGCATTAAATTGGTGTTGAATGGATCTGTGGGGCAGAGCTGCTCCACCTCTGGTCCTGGCACTTCCAGACTGAAGATTCCCACTGCCTAAATCCTTTGGGAATGGGAGTTCAGAGCATCCCAGCTGCTGAGAGCGACAACTCTGCAATAACAGGGAGCATTCAAGTGCCATTCCCTGCCGTGTCTGTAATTGCAGGAGGGTAATTAGCACAGCCAGGCCTGGTGGAGTATCCACAACACTTCCCCTTCCTTCGGATTCCCTGGGATTCGCTGCAGTTGAAATTTTCCTTCCATTTGCAGGGAAAAGCTTTCGTGAAGGAGAGCCTGAAGTGCATCGCCAACGGGGTGACGTCCAAGGTGTTCCTGGCCATCCGCAGGTGCTCCACGTTCCAGAGGATGATCTCCGAGGTGCAGGAGGAGTGCTACAGCAAGCTGGACATGTGCGGCATCGCCCGGCGCAACCCCGAGGCCATCACCGAGGTGGTGCAGCTCCCAAACCACTTCTCCAACCGGTACGGGGGGTCCCCTGGGCTTCCGGGAATGGGAATTGCAGGGGAAGGAATGAGAGGGAACCGGGAGTGGGAATTGGACAGGAATGAGAGGGATCCAGGAGCAGGAATTGCAGGGGCAGGAACGAGAGGGATCCAGGAGTGGGAATTGCAGGGGAAGGAACATGAGGCAACCAGGAGTGGGAATTGGGCAGGAATGAGAGGGAACCGGGAGTGGGAATTGGGCAGGAACAAGAGGGATCCAGGCGTGGGAATTGCAGGGGAAGGAATGAGAGGGATCTGGGAGTGAAATCTGATTTCCATGGCAGAGAAATCTGCCTCCATGGCAGAGAAATGTGGCTTTGCAGGGGAAGGAATGAGAGGGATCCAGGAGTGGGAATTGCAGGAGAAGAAACATGAGGGAACCGGGAGTGGGAATTGGGCAGGAATGAGAGGGATCCAGGAGTGGGAATTGGGCAGGAATGAGAGGGATCCAGAAGTGGGAATTGCAGGGGAAGGAATGAGAAGGATCCAGGAGTGGGAACTAGGCAGGAGGGGGAATTGCAGGGGCAGGAATGAGAGGGATCCGGGAGTGAAATCTGATTTCCATGGCAGAGAAATGTGGCTTTGCAGGGGCAGGAACAAGAGGGATCCAGGAGTGGGAACAGGGCAGGAGTGGGAATTGCAGGGCAGGAACGAGAGGGATCTGGGAGTGGGAATTGCAGGAGAAGAAACATGAGGGAACTGGGAGTGGGAATTGGGCAGGAATGAGAGGGATCAGGGAGTGAAATCTGACTTTCATGGCAGAGAAATGTGGCTTTGCAGGGCCAGGAACGAGAGGGATCCAGGAGAGGGAATTGCAGGGCAGGAACGTGAGGGAACCGGGAGTGAAATCTGATTTCCATGGCAGAGAAATGTGGCTTTGCAGGGGCAGGAACCAGATGGATCTGGGAGTGGGAATTGCAGGGGAAGGAATGAGAGGGATCCGGGAGGGAAATCTGATTTCCATGGCAGAGAAATCTGCCTCCATGGCAGAGAAATGTGGCTTTGCAGGGGCAGGAATGAGAGGGATCCAGGAGTGGGAATTGGGCAGGAACGTGAGGGAACCGGGAGTAGGAATTGCAGGAGAGGGATCCGGCTGATAAAGGCCTGCAAGTCCTGAAACATCTGAGCCCAATAAAGCTCTCTGCCTCTTCAGACCCTGCTCAGCTTTAGATGAAGAGAATTTGAAGAGAATTTTGAGAAGTAAAGCATGCTCCCTTCTCTTTTTGGGAAATACATTTATTTCCCTTTTTGGAAAAACACACTTGTTTTTCATTTTAGGAAATACACGTATTTCCCTTTTTGGGAAATACACATATCCATTTCCTATTACAGAAAACTCTCTTGTAGATGAAGGCATTTTTTCTTGTCTATCCAGAAAATGGCAAAATCCAGAAGGCAAAATTATACTGGGGGGAGCAAAAATGAAACTTGTGTGTCTTTCTCCCAAGCAAATTTGGGGTGGAAATTGGAACTTTGGGAAGGGGTTTTATGGAGGACTGGGCGAGCAGCAGGCAGCTCTGTGGAGCCCCAGGTTAAAGTGATGGATTGTGGCGCTCAGCAGCCCTCGGAGGGGACACGGGGACATTCGGGCAGTGAGAGGACCAAGCCCTGGAGCCTGTCCCGAGGCACAGGCAGCTCCTCCCGGCCCGAGGAGGCAGAGGATATTGTGGAGGAACAAAGGCAGCAGGATTTCCCAGCTCCGAGGTTACGCTGAGGGCTCCCGGAGCATCCTGCTTTCCCAGCCCCGGCCCCGCAGCAGCAGAATGTGCCACTTGGCCTGGCTGCCCAGGGGAAGTAGTTAAAGGTCATTGCATCTTCCTGCCATTTCATCTCAGGGCAGGAAAATCTCCATTTCGTCTCAGGGGAGGAAAATCCCGGCTCTGACGGGCTCTGGGAAGGTGTCCGAGCGTGGAAGCCCCGGGGCTGGACGGGCTCTGTGTCTGGCCCTGATTTAAGCCGAGTTTGTGGCTGCCTCAGCTTTGCTCATCTCCAGAGCCTGATCCTCTTGTGCAGCTCAGGCTTTGACCTCACCTGACCTCCCCTGGCTCTCCAAAGTTGGGAAAAGATTTTCAATGGGAACTCTCATTTCCCTCTTCCTTCCCCTCCTCCACCTGCAGGTTGTTCTCTTCTCTGCTCCTGTGGAAAAATGTCACCGTGACCTTAAAGTGCTTAAAATAAGTTCCTCGACGTCCTCTCAAGGCAGAAATCCCAGCAAATGTGGGACTGCTGCCCTTTTTCCCAAGCTTGCCTCCCTGGGAAGATGTTCCCTGGCACAGGGAGGTGCCAGGTGCTCTCCCAGCCCTGCTCCTGGGGCCGTGGAGGAACATTCCTTGGAGGAATTCTCAGCAGGGCTGGGAATACAGGGCAGCACCACATCCTGGCTAATAAGTGACAGACTCCCAAGGCATTCACAGATGGCTAATTCAATTTATTAAGAAATCCATTACTTTTTATACCCTTTTTATACCCTTTTTATACCCTACAGGTAGACCAGATTGGTCTTTTAATTAAAACAAAATCACCATTGGCTAATTAACAAGACACCCATTTATTAAACAATCTTATGAGAATAACAAGAAAACAGATATTAGAAAAACAGCGCCTCCAGGTTGTTTTTAATAATTGGCTATCATTGTTTACCTCCAGCTCCCCAAAACTTCCCAGGCCAATTCTGGGGTAATTAATCTAGCTTCTCTCTCTCTGAGCAGGGGTGCCAGCACACCTGGCTGCTCCTTGGACAGGGAATTTGTGCCCAGGGCAGCTGGAGAGGAGGCAGGGGAAGCTTCACTTGGGGTTCTGTGCATGGTGGGTTGGAAGTGAGCACGGATTTCGTGTCCTGAGGGAACCAGGGATCTGCCAGGCTTGCGCTGAGCTGCTTCTCCCCCTTCTGGTCCTTCTGTGCAGGGAAAGGGACAAGAGGGACAAGAGGGATTGGTGCCACAGGGATGGATCAGTCTTGGAGCAGAGGCCGAGCCAGGCTGGGATCCCGGCAGGATCTGTTCTTGCAAACATCAATTATTTTCCTTCCCAAAGCTCCAGGAACTCGGGTGTTTAGCAGAGAGTAAATCACATCCTTTAACCCATTCCTATTCTCTCATCTCCTCGTTTTTACCTTCCTGATCTGCTGGGATCACTCCAAACCCACTGTGCTCACCCTCACCTCCCTGAGCTGGGGCAGCTGTTGGTTTAGGGCAGTTAAATCCGAATTTTGGCGATGGGGTTCCTTCCCTGTGCACCCATGCCCAGGGTGTTTGGGTGCAGCGACAACAAAGCTGCACTTGGCCTTGGCAGGCCTTTCCCAACCTTAAAAATTCTGCCAAAGCACCTTGAGAAATCAATTCCAAACGCGCTCGGGCTGAGTTAAAACCCGGATTCTCACAGTTCTGCCCGTGGCTGGGGCACAGCGTGGGCTAAGCGGGTGTCTGTGCCGCAGGTACTACAACAAGCTGGTGAGGAGCCTGCTGGAGTGCGACGAGGACACGGTGAGCACCATCAAGGACAGCCTGATGGAGAAGCTGGGCCCCAACATGGCCAGCCTGTTCCACCTGCTGCAGAGCGACCACTGCGCCCAGGGCCACCCCCGCGCCGACCTCCTGCGCAGGAGGCTCTCGGAGCCGCAGAAGCTGCAGCTGCTCCTCAGGAACCTCCGAGGTGAGGGCTCCACACCCGCCCGCGCCAAGCGCGGCTCCGCCGAGCGCGCCTGAGCGGGGCAGGGCGAGCCGAGCGCGACCAAAGGGCTCTGAGGGCTCTGCTCGAGGAGTGCTGCACCCAAAGCCACGGGACTGTTGGTGTTTTAACCCCCCAGGAGCTGGGTTTAGTTCCTTAGGGCTCGTTTAGTTAGTTCATCTTTCCTCTTCCACTTCTGCATGGGTCTGCGTTCGGTGTCGCGGCTTTCCCGCCGGCCTGACGGCTCTGTCTCTTCTCTTCCCCACAAAAAAAATCTGTTCTCCCAAAAAAAATCTTACTCATAAGTAGATCCCTGCAGCGGTCAGGCCTTCAGGCACCAAAGCCAACGTTTGGAGGCTGAGTTTTGTCCCAAACCGTTGTGCTGACGCCACCCAGGCCTGGAGATTCGGCGCCGAGGGGAGGAGCCGCTCCTCTCCTGCAGGTGCCGGGAGATGCACTAAAAACTCTCGCACGTCCTAAAAAATATCAGTGGAATTCATGTCATGAATCTGTGCTGGCCATGGACGAACATGGATGTCACGTTCCTGGTCCTGTAGTGTCACCCTCAGTCCTAATCCTTCCAGCAGAGTGCTGTGAGCACGTTTAAGTCGGGATTTACCAAACTCCTGCACGGTTTAGTCACCAGGACTTGGCACCGCGGTGCAAAACGAGTTCAAACCACCCCAAAAAGCCCAACAGCAGCAGAGGGACGTGTTCTACCTGTGGCTGGAGCTGGTCAGGAGGTCCCATAATCGTGCGTTGTATTTCAAAGCTCACATCTTGTACTGTATTTAACTGCCTGAAGCTTTAAACCAAGCCTAACAGAAACAAAGCCTGTCTTAAGATTAGAGTATTAAAGGCCTTGCTCTAACAGTGGTATAAATAGTGCTAAAATCTCTCTGTACTGTACATAAACTCCACCAGAGTCTGCCTCAAAGGAGCAGAACAGAATGACTTTATTGCCTAAAGTGAGTTTTGTAAGTCAGCTCTTTCTTTATTATTATTGTTGTTATTGTTATTAATATTATTATTATTGCTTTCTTTTTCCTGGAAGCAGCACCTCTGTCATAGTCAGGAGTTCACATTCCACTCTGTGGCCTTTTTACAAAGGAAGAGGGGAAAAGTTTGGGATGGGAATCGCAGGACCGGGAAGAGCCTTTCAGAGCTAAAATTGAGGCAAAATCCATAAAAACCCAAGTTCAGGCCGGTCAGTCCTGTCCCCACAGGCAATGACTTAGAGCCAAGGCAGAGCTGCTGGGAATTCCGGAATTGTCAGATCCTTTGGGAATCTCACGGGGCAAAACTCCCGACAGGATTTTTGGGGAAAGGCTGGGAAAACCCATCATTCTCTGAAGCTCCAGCAGGAAAGCTGAGACCACAATGAATGAATGCTCTGGGAGCTGCCTTTCCTCCTCCTCCTCCTCCTCCTCCTCCTCCTCCTCCTCCTCCTCCTCCTCCTCCTCCTCCTCCTCCTCAGCGGGTTCTGGGAAGAGGAGCAGAGCTGGGACACCCCAAAGCCGCTCCCCACCTCAGCCAGGCCCTGCTGAGCCCAAAAATCCCCTTGGTGGTGTGGGATCCACCAGGCCAATCCCAAATCCATGCCTTGGAGTCCCTGCAGAGTGGGAGACTCTGCCTCAGAGCTGATGAAGGAGGGATCTCTTTTTCTCATGGAAACCTGAAGCAATATAATTTGATTTTTTTTTTGTGTTGTTCAGGAAACCACAAAGCCTTTAAACCAGAACTTGCTGCTAAAATATCAAAACCAGATGCAGTGGCAACGTTTCAGATGTCGCTGTCTTCACAAAATGTAGCCCAGAAGTGCTGGCAGAGAATTGGAAGCAGCAAAAAAACGTTGCTGACATTGGTGGAGGGTCGGAATTTTAATTTTTTTGGGATACTCTGAATAGAGCCATGCAGGTCGAGGAAGATGCAAAGTTGCTCCTTCCTGAATCAGGCAGGGATTGAGAGGTGGACACCAAGAAGTTCTGAGAGGTGAAAACCAAAATCTTCTGGCATATCCCGACCCAAAAATTGTGATTATATTTAGGAACTGATCTCAGGAGCGCATCCCTGACTTCCCACCCTGCGGCTGTTGGGAGCCTGGGAATCCCGCTGGGGTCTGTGCATCCACTCCAAGCTTTTATTTGGGAATTGGTCACCAAAAGTCTTTCCCTGCCCCAGGGCAGTGCCCCAAACCCACCTGGGAGATCCCAAAGTTTCTGGGAGCCTGACCGGGGACATTCCTCATGGGAAGTGGCTTCACCACCCACCCATTTCTCTGCAACCCCAAAAAAGCGCCTAAAGCAGATTTGGGGCTGGGGAGGCGCCTTGGGCCTCCCATTCCCACCTTTTTTTTGGGGTGCCATAATGGAATTTCCCTTTCCATCAGCGATTCCAGCTCTGTCTCCTGAATAAGGGAGGGAAGAGGAGCGGGGAGATGATTCCCCCTGGCAGGGTTGGCTGTGGTGGCCCAGGGAACTCCTCCTGTGCCATCCGTGTCCCAAAAAAAGCCACAATTCCCAAGTTTTGAGCTGCTTTGAGGCCGCTGTGCTGGAGCAGGGAGGAATTTGGGGTGGCTCATCCCATCTGGGGGTTCCCGTCCCTGGGGAATGACGGAAAGGTTTGGATTTGGGTGGGATTGGGCGGAAAGGTTTGGATTCGGGTGGGATTGGATGGAAATATTTGGATTTTTGGTGAGGAACCATCGCCACCCTCAAGTCCAGCGATTTCACCCCAAAGTTCATCTCCACTTGGTTTTTTTTGGTGTCACCAAAGGATTTTCTCTCGGGGCAGGGAGCGGCTTCTCCGGGAAGGTTTGCATGAGTCTCGTGGTTTGTTTGCACTTTAGACATTGTTGTGCCATTATAAATTTGCATTATTTCTATTTATAATTTAAAGAGACCTAGAAAAGGGAAAAGGGAGAGAGTTGGGGGGTTGTGGGTTTTGGGTTTTTTTGGGGTTTTTTTGCTGAATACTGGAATGAACAGTGAGCATATCTGGTATATGTCCTTATTTATTGTTTCCATGACATTTGTAAAGCTCCGTGTGTTCATATAAAGGTTATTTGAAACATATCATAGCGAGGAGAGAGAGGCAAGTTATTTTCTTTGCTTATTTTTATAATTAAAGATGCATAACGTAATGAGGCCTACGTTGGATTTTCTTCTGCCATGAAATAAAGAAGTCAAATTTAAAAGATTTTGGTGTCCGAGTCTTTATTGGGCTGTTGATAGCAGCAGGATAAAAATTTTTATTTTTATAAAATAAAATCATGGTGGCATTATTAATAATAATTATTGATTACATTATTAAAATTACTAAAATAAGTATTGAAATAAATGAATTCTAAATAATTATTGTTAATATATAATGTTAAATATATAATGTTAAATATATAATATATAATGTTAAAATAATATATAATAATATATGTTAATATATTGATGTATTAATATATTAATATATTAATATAGTAATAATATATTCATTTTATATATTTATTTATAATTATTAACATTATTGACAGCATTGGAAATTCCCTTTGGGACTTCCACCTGGAGCTCCCAACCTTGACAATATTCCAGAATTTCAACAACTTTTTAAGACTTGGGAATAAAATGGGCACATTTAGGTCAGTGCTGCTAATGGAGGGAGCTGAATTCCCAAAAAAAGCAGGAGCAGAGGGGTGGGATCAACCTCGGCTCTGTGGGGGGAAAACTGGGAGGGAAATCATCCTGGGGAAGGAAATTTTGGCTCAGTGATGAAGAAAATTGTGCTAGAAAAGGAAATTTATGCTCGATAATGAAGAAAATAGTCCTGGAAAAGGAAATTTTGGCTCGGTGACAAAGAAAAAAAGTCTTGGAAAATGAAATTTATGCTTGATAACCAAGACAAAAGTCCTGGAAAAGGAAATTTCAGCTCAATGACAAAGAAAAAAGTCCTGGAAAAGGAAATCGCGCCTTGATGACGAAGAAAAGAGTCCTGGAAAAGGAAATCTGGGCTGGGTGATGACGAAGAACTCGGGAAGCATTAAAATCCTGGTTGATTTTCCCCTGAAAAAAAAACCAAAAAACCAAAAAAAACAGGAATTAGATTTGGCCAGGATCCAAAGGATTGACTGGATGTTCTTTTCTCATCCATGAGGGGTTTTTTTGCAGTTTCATGACGAAACCAAGGGAAAACCAATTCAGATTTTCCCATCCTCACCCTTCCTGCCAACTTTGGGAGGGAGGGAAGGAAGGAGGAGCGGGATCCCCGACACTTCCAAAGGGCTGGGAATGAAATTCGGGACCAGACTTCCCTTCCTGCCTCCCTGGAAGTGAGAAAAATAAAAAGTTGGGAGGGAAAAAAACTCCCACAGGAATGAAGGATGAGAAAAAATTCCCACAGAAATGAAGGGTGACAAAAATTCCCACAGAAATTAATGATATTGTCGTCGCTGCCGTGATTCAGCTGCTCCGAGCAGGAATGTGGAAGGAGTCCAAAAAATAAAAGAAATAGAGTTGATAAAAATAGAAATCAGAGCTCAAATCGCCCGGATCCAGAGGTGATTCCCACCAGGAGAGCTCAGATCAGTGAGGAGCAGAGGGAAAGGCAGGAGAAACGCAAAGGGATGAAGATTTGGCTAGGGAATTCTCAGATCCTGAGATTTTGATTTAATTTTTAATTGAATTTGTATTTAATTTTAATTTAATTTGCATTTTTAATCAATTTCAGTGGAAAGCAGTGGCCAAAAATTAATCTGAGGGATTGAGGGGGCTGGAAATCCCAGAAAACCACAGAGACATGGAATGGTTGGGTTGGAAAGGACCAGATCCTCCAATCCATGGGATAATGGGGTTGGGAATCCCAGAAAACCATGGAGATATGGAATGGGTTGGATTAGATGGGAGCAGCTCCAACCCATGGGATGATGGGGTTGGAATTCCCAGAAAACCATGGAGCCATGGAATGGGTTGGATTAGATGGGAGCAGCTCCAACCCATGGGATGATGGGGTTGGAATTCCCTGAAAACCACGGAGATATGGAATGGGATGGGTTGGAAAGGACCAGATCCTCCAATCCATGGGATGATGGGGTTGGAATTCCCAGAAAACCACAGAGCCATGGAATGGTTGGGTTGTGTTGGATGGGACCAGATCCTCCAGTTCCATCCCTGCCTGGGTACTCCAACCTGGCCTTGGGCACTTCCAGGGATGAGGAAACCACAGATTCCTTTGGAATTCCATCCCAGGCCATCCCCACCCTCTGAGGGGGGAAAACTGTGCCTTTCCCACCGTGACTTTGGGATACTCCAAGCCCATTATCCCCTTGGATGAGGCTCCTAAATCACCTCAGAGGCGCTCCCCGGCCAAAACCTTCTGCTGGGCCTTCCTGGAGCCTTCCTGGGGCTTTCCCAAATCCCATCCTGGAGGGATCAGACCATTCTCAAGGGGATCAAACTATTCCCAAATGCCAACCAGGGGGGATCAGACCCTTCCCAAGGGGTCTCAGGCCCTTCCCAAGTGCCATCCAAGGGGGATCAGGCCCTTCCCAGGGGGATCAGACCCTTCCCAAGGGGTCTCAGGCCCTTCCCAAGTGGCATCCAAAAGGGATCAGACCTTTTCAAAGGGGATCAGACTCTTCCCAAATGCCATCCAGGGGGGATCAGACCCTTCCCAGGGGGATCAGACCCTTCCCAAGGGGATCAGACCCTTCCCAAGTGCCATCCAGGGGGGATCAGACCCTTCCCAAGGGGATCAGACCCTTCCCAAGTGCCATCCAGGGGGGATCAGACCCTTCCCAAGGGGATCAGACCCTTCCCAAGTGCCATCCAGGGGTCTCAGACCCTTCCCAAGTGGCATCCAGAAGGGATCACACCTTTCCAAAGGGGATCAGACCCTTCCCAGGGGGATCAAACCCTTCCCAGGGGGGGCTCAGGCCCTTCCCAAGTGCTTCCCAAATCTCTGGGCAGGAGCATTTCCGCGGGGATGCTCCCGGGGAATTCCTGGGAAGAAACCCGGGAATTTTTGGGAGATGCAGGCAAAGCTGGAAGGGACCCGCACTGCCCCAGGGTGACGAACTCCTGGGATTTTATCCCGGTTTTTTTTTTGTTTTTTTTTTTTTTAATTCCCAGGAGATCTTTAGCCCGTTTTTGGTCTGTTTTTTTTCTCCACGGCTCTTGTGCCCTCTGCTGACCGACGGTTCCCGCAGCCCCGGAGCCTCCCCGCTCCTCCTCCGGCATCTCCCGGTTCCTCCCTCCCCTCACCCTCTCCCACCGCCAGCCCCGACCCGAATTATTCACGAGGCTTCACCGAAAAAAATCCCCTTTAAAACAAACTCCGAGCCTGCTCAGAGCGCTTCGAACCCCGCGGGATTTTGTGATTTTTTTTCTCCCCAAAAATCAGCAATTCCCGCTCACTGCCCCGCTGCTCTTCCCCACCTTTCCAACCCTCGGTTTTTTGGGATTTGGAGGAAAAGCAAAGCTGCAGATCCCGGCTGGCCAAGCAGAGGGCACTGCTGGCTCACGATTCCAGCCAGAGCTCGAAATCCTGGCACAGAAAATCTCCGCCGGGAGCAGCAGCTGAGGAATCCTGTGTGCCCTTCATCCATCCCCCTGTTTCCAACAGGTCCTAAAAAATCCAGGAATAATAAATTAAAACGTGGGAATAACAGCCAGAGAAACAGAGCAGTGATGGGGAGAAATGGAAAAACTGGGGGGAAAAGAGATTAAATGGACACAGGAGATGAGAGCCTGACCCATTTTGGGGTTCATCTGAGACCCAGAGCGGGTTCTCCACAAAAATGCACTAAAATTTCATCTTTTTAACCCATGGATTCTGAAATGGAAGATATTTTCACTTTTTTTCCTGCTGATGTGCATTAGGAAACCCCGGGGAGGGAATCTGCTCCCTCTCATCCCCTGCAGCTCCTTCTCACTCCCATCCTCTCCGCTTCCTCTTTTATTTTGCTGATGGAAAAGGACAGAAAGCAGCTGGGAGGGAGCAGGGGATGTAAAAAACCCTTTCGAGCTGAATTTCAGCTGCACCTGAGAATCCCCAAAGTCCTCAGAGGAGCCCATGCGCAGCTCTGCGCTCTCAGTCCCCCGTGCACCACCGCGCTGATTAATTAAATTATTTATTTATTAATTATGATGTATTTATTTTTTATTCATTAATTCCTAAAATTAGGAATTAATTTTTTATTTATTTTTTTATTATTTATTTATTTATAATTGTATTTATTAATAAATTAATAAAATAATAATTATTTATTTATTCCTAAAATTATTTATTTTTTTATTTGTAAAATTTATTAATTTATTTATTTAATTTATAAATATTTATTTATTTATGCATTAATAAATTAATAATTATTTATTTATTCCTAAAATTATTTATTTATTTATTTATTTATTTATAAAACTATTAATTTATTTATTTAATTTATAAATATTTATTTTATTTATTTATTTATTTATTCCTTTATTTATTTATTTATTCCTTTATTTATTAATTCCTTTATTTATTAATTCCTAAAATTCCCAGTGCCAATATTCCAAATTTTTCCCCTCACTTCTGACCGCTTAAACCCCAAAATCTGTCGGGACTGAGGCTCTGGGGGGTGCTGGCTCTCCCGCGGGGCAGGTTCGGGTTTCCAGGCTCTCGGATGCTCCTCCGCCGCCGCAGCTCCTGATGGATCCCGGCGATAAATCCCGAAATTCGAGCCCCGCCGCGGTGCCGCTGCCATGGAAACGCTCCCGGCCCAGCCCGAGCGGATTTCTCCCGGTTTCACCTAACCCGGTTAGGAGGAGCAGAAATGGCCCTGGAGAGACTTAACCCGATTAAAGCCCGGGCAGTGAGGGGCGCTTGGGATGGATCCTCCCAGGAATTCCCCGGGAGCATCACCCCCGAAATGCTCCTGCCCAGAGCTCCGGGAAGCACTTGGGAAGGGCCTGATCCTCTTGGGAATGGTTTGAGACCCCTGGGAATGGTCTGATCCCTCCTGGATGGTATTTGGGAAGGGTCTGGTCCCATTGGGAAAGGTCTGATCCCCTTGGGAATGGTCTGATCCCCCTGGGAATGTTCTGATCCCTTCTGGATGGTATTTGGGAAGGGTCTGATCCTCTTGGGAAGGGTCTGATCCCTCCTAGGTGGCACCTGGGAAGGGTCTGAGACCCTGGGAATGGTCTGATCCCTCCTTGATGGCACTTGGGAATGGCCTGGTCCCCTGGGAATGGTCTGATCCTTCCTGGATGGCATCTGGGAAGGGTCTGATGCCCTTGGGAATGGTCTGATCCCTCCTGGATGGCATTTGGGAAGGGTCTGGGACCCCTGGGAATGGTCTGATCCCTCCTAGATGGGATTTGGGAAGGGTCTGAGACCCCTGGGAATGGTCTGATCCCTTCTGGATGGCACTTGGGAAGGGTCTGATCCCCCTGGGAAGGGTCTGATCCGTCTTGGATGGTATTTGGGAAGGGTCTGATCCCCTTGGGAATGGCCTGATCCCTCCTGGATGGCACCTGGGAAGGGTCTGAGACCCCTGGGAATGGTCTGATCCCTCCTGGATGGCACTTGGGAGTGGTCTGGTCCCTCCTGGATGGCACCTGGGAAGAGTCTCATCCCCCTGGGAATGGTCTGATCCCTCCGGGATGCCACTGAGCAAACCCCAAAAAGGCTCCAGGAAGGCTCAGCAGCAGGTTTTGACCGGGGAGCGCCTGTGAGGTGATTTAGGAGCCTCATCCAAGCGTCTGGATGCTCCAGAAGCCGCCCGCCAGCCAGGGAGGGCTGGATGGGACCTGTGGGACGCACAGAGACAGGGATGGGGGCAGCCCCGCGGCCCCAAAGCCATCGTGGGACACGAAAATCCATTTTCCATCACTCAGCCCAGCCGGTGCCGCGTCTCTCCGCGGGTCCCGGGAGCCAAACCCCGCCCGCCCATTAATCCCGGAGTCATTAGGGGCGGATAAAGCCACTTCCCCCAATTCCTTCCTGCTCGTCTCGATCCCAGCCAAGCATTTCACCTTGGCGCCGGCCTCGGGCCGAGGTGTAAAATTACCGCCGCAGCCCCAAACAAAGCGGCCAGACGTGGCCATGAATCCCCCGGCCTCGTGGAGGGCCTTTGGGGCAGGGAAACTGAGGCACGGGAGCTCGGGAAGGGCTGGCATGGCTGGAAAATCCAGCCTGAGGAGCCGGGGCAGGCTCAAGGAGCTGCAGCCTCCTTCTTCGCTGGGACTGGGAGGTTTGGGGGGTGGGTTGAGGGTGAAATAACATAAAAATGGCAAAAAAAAAAAGAAAAAAATGAGTTTTAAATGGAAAAAAAAAAAAAAAAGCTTTAAAATGGGAAAATGGAGGAAAAAAAAAAAAAGCAAAAAGAGGCAAAAATGAAAAAGAAAAAAAATGCAAATAAAGGTCAGAACAAGGCAAAAAAGGGCATCTCAGAGGAGAGTGTAAGAGGAGGGAAATCACCGAGCACGGCCCGGGCCTCCCCCAGCAAAGGGATTCAGGAGGAGCTGGGGGGATGCTGAGCCTGAGCCTGCAAACCGGGGCAGCTCAGCTCGGCCATCCCCGCGGTGTGTCCGGCCCAAATTCCCGCTTTACTCGGGGAAACGGGAATCACGGAGCGCAGAAAGGTTGGAACACCCCTCCGGTGACACCCACGGGCCGGGCCGGGCTGGGGCAGCCCCGGAGCCGAACCCCGGACCGGAGGCTGGGACCGAGCCCGGGAATTGGGACCGAGCCCGGGAATCGGGACCGAGCCCGGGAACTGGGACCGAGCCCGGGAATTGGGACCGAGCCCGGGAATTGGGACCGAGCCCGGGAATTGGGACCGACCCTGGGTGCCTCGGAGCACTTTTCTCCCCGAGCCACCCTATTTATTTTCCCTCTTTTGCAGCCCCTCGCTGCCTCGGCTGCTTTGGGGCCGTTTATTTATTCAGGGTCCCCTCCCGGGCCGCTGTCGGTGGGGCCGGAGGCACCGGCCCGGCCCGGCCGCGGCCAGCGCGGCTCTGTCAGGGCTATCAGCGAACACCAGCCCTGAGCCCGGCCAGGAATTTTAATTGAAATCGCCGCTCCCTGGGCTCAGATAAGGCCCAGCAGCGCCCCACGCACCGAGGGGCTGCCCAGGACCCCCCTCGCTGTCCCACGGGGTGCCAAGACCCGACCCCGCTGCCCAAATTCATGGGGGTACCCTGACCCCTCTCCGTGCCCTGGGAAAGCTCTGCCAGCTCAGCCGAGGAAGCGCTGGGACAAACTGGGACAAACTGGGACAAACTGGGAGGGAACTGGGGCCCGAAGCTGTCCCACGTCCCCGTCCCAGCGTCCCCTCCCCTCCCGCAGGCGCTTGGTGGTCCGCGCTCCTTATCAGCGCTTATCTGCCGCAGCCGCTCGCTAATGTGACCTTAATGGAGCTCAAATGGACTGGATTTGTTTTATTGCGGCTCAGCCCAAAGCCCGGCACCCCCTGCCCCCCTCCCGCCGCTCCTTCCCTCTTCCCTTGTTTTGGAAACACGCGGGGAAGGGGCTGCTCCTTCCTCGGGGCTCGGGGGGGCAGCGCATGGGGAGCCGGAGCACCCGGGGCGGCGGGGAGAGCCCTCCCGGCGCTGTCCATCCATCCCCTCCATCCCCTCCATCCCCTCCACCCCCTCCATCCCCTCCATCCATCCCCTCCATCCATCCCCGGACCCCCGGGGACCCCCCGAGCCGGGGCTGCTCCGTGGTGCGGCGGCATCGGGAGGTTCGGAACCGGCAGCGGGACCGGCAGCGCTCGGTGTCCGCGGCAGCCCCGCGCCCCCCGCGGCCGGAGATGCTGCCCACGCCCTTCTCGGTGAGGCACATCCTCAGCCTGGAGGCTCCCGGGGCTCCCCGAGCCGGGCAGGACGAGCCGCGGCCGCGTAAGTGCCCGCGGGACTCTGCGGAGACGGGCGGAGGAGGCACCGGGGGGACCCCGCGGAGCCGCTCTCGTTCCCCCGGTGCGGATCCTCGCACCCGCCGGTCCCGGTGCTTCTCCTTTTCCCTCCTTTTTCCCTTTTCCCCCTGTTTTTACCCCCCGGTTTGGGGCATTTTTGGGCATCCCCGCACATCCCCGCAGCTCCGGCTGCCCTCAGGGAACCGGGACGATCCCGGGGTTGGATGGGGCTGCGGGTGGATTTGGGATTTTTGGGGTTTTTCCTGCCCGAAGTCACCCATCGCCGCCGCTTTCGATGTCACCGCGGTGTGGCCCCGCTGGGGACACGGCCGCGCCCGGGGGCGCAGAGGATCCCCGAGGGAGGATCGGAGCTTCTGCCCGCAGCAAAAATCCCAAAAATTCCCTCTGCTCCCGTTTCCCAAACGCCCGGCGGCGGCAGAGCGCGGAAACCAGTGGGGGCAGAGCGGGAGCACTGGGCAGACTGGGACAGGGACAGGGACAGGGACAGGGACAGGGACAGGGACAGGGACAGGGACAGGGACAGGGACAGGGGAGGATTATGCCCCCTTCACACCTTCCATCATCCAGCAGCCCCTGGAATTCCCAAATTCCCTGCCGAGGGATCCCAGAGCATCCCAGCCGGAGCTGGACCTGATCCCGGCTGCTCCTCTGCCGCGCAAATCCGCAGCAAATCAGAAATCCCTCAAACCAGTAAATCAGATTTAATGATTTTCCCTCCTCCGCTCCTTCCGAGGATTTTTTGGGGTTTTTTTTGGGGTTTTTTTTTTTTGGGATTCTCCCTTCCCGGAGCTGGAGGCAGATCCTACCGGAGGCCTGGATTCCACAGCAGGATGTTGGGGAAAGGGGATTTCGGGTCTGGAATACCCGAACCTCCTGTGTGCCCGCCTTTCTTTGTGTCTCTCGGACAACGGTGGCAAAACATCATTAGGAGAGGGGGGAAAAAAGAAAAAAGGAGGGTTTATCCAGAATTCGTGTAACAGCTTAATTTAAAAAAAAAAAATATTGAATTCTCAATAAATATCACGGGAAAATTCATATTAAATTTATCCAGTATCAGACTTTACTTTACGAACTGTCAGCCCTACTCCATCCTATTCCCAAGGGGTGCCATTCCCGATTTGGGGCTGACTTTGTTTTATTTTTGCCATTCCCCATTTGATCCCTGCCTGTCACTGAGAACAGAGCTGGGTTTGGGGCTGACTTTGCTTTATTTCTTTATTTTTGCCATTCCCCATTTGATCCCTCCTTGCCACTGAGAACAGAGCTGGGTTTGGGGTTGATTTTGCTTTATTTCTTTATTTTTGCCATTCCCTATTTGATCCCTCCTTGCCACTGAGAACAGAGCTGGGTTTGGGGTTGACTTTGCTTTATTTTTGCCATTCCCCATTTGATCCCTGCCTGTCACTGAGAACAGAGGTGAATTTGGACTTGATTTTGCTTTATTTCTTTATTTTTGCCATTCCCCATTTGATCCCTCCCTGTCACTGAGAACAGAGCTGGGTTTGGGGCTGACTTTGCTCATTCCCCATTTGACCCCTCCCTGTCACTGAGAACAGAGCTGGATTTGGGGCTGACTTTGCTTTATTTTTGCCATCCCCTATTTGATCCCACCCTCTCTCAGGGAACAGAACTGGATTTGGATCTGACTTTACCTTATTCCCCCCGCGGCAGGAAAACCTCTGCCCTCCCGGAGCTGTGAGGCCGAGGAGAAGCCGGGCGGGTCCGGCCGGGCTCCGGGGCAGCAGCGGCGGCGGCGGCCGCGCGTTCTGTTCTCGCAGGCTCAGGTGCTGGAGCTGGAGCGGCGCTTCCAGCGGCAGAAATACCTGTCGGGGCCCGAACGGGAGCTGCTGGCTCGGCACCTGCGGCTCAGCCCCACGCAGGTGAAGATTTGGTTCCAAAACCGGCGCTACAAGAGCAAGAGGCAGCGGCGGGAGCTGCCCCCGCGCCCGGTGCCGGTGCCGGTGCCGGTGCTGGTGCGGGATGGCGAACCCTGCCCCGGCTGCTCCCGGCATTTCCCGGCGATTCCTCCTCCTGGAATTCCTCCCTGCGCGATTCCTCCCTGCGCGATTCCTCCTTCTGCAATTCCAGGCGCTTTTCCCCGCGGTTCTTACCGGGGTGGCGGCGCTTTGGGGTACCCCGGGGTGTCCCCAGGTGCCACCGCCGGCGGTGCCCAGCGCCAGCCCCCGGCTCCTCCTGCGGGAATCGGCGCTGGGAGATGGGGCTGAGCGGGGAAAAGCACCGGGGGAGCTCCGGAGCCCAACCCCGATGGGGCAGCAGCCAAATTCAAAGGGTTTCTGCCCGCCCGGACAGCGGAACGATCCCGGGGACGCCGCCCCACAGCGCGGAGACTTAAAAATTATTTATTATTAAGCAGAATCATCAGGAGTCCGGCCCTTCCAGCTCCCAAGGGATTTGCTCCCCCCAATGCCACCCGGAAACGTCCTTTTCCTTCCTCGGGATAACTGGAAAACAGGGGCCGTGCACATCCCTGTGCTTTTTTAAATGGACAATATTTAATGCTTTGTGTTCGTGTATTTTCTAGATTTATTTCTAAATGTTAGAAATTTTATTTCTAGATTTGTTTTTCTTAATGACTCCCAACACAGGTATCGATTTCTGCCTTTATTATTAATATTGTTGTTATTGTTGTTATTGTAATTGTTATTGTTATTGTTGTTGTTCGTGTAATTGTTATTATTTGCAAATAAAAACGGATCGGTGAAATCGTGTTTTCGCTCTCTTGTCATTTCTCACTTTGTATTTTGAATTTTATCACAGGGAATTCCTTTCCCTACAATTCCACAGTGTCCTTTCCCTGCAGTTCCTCAGGGAATTCCCTTTTCCTGCAATTCCACACGGAATTCCCTTTTCCTGCAATTCCACAGGGAATTCCTTTTCCCTACAATTCCACAGGGAATTCCCTTTCCCTGCAGTTCCACAGGGAATTCCCTTTTCCCTACAATTCCACTGAGTCCTTTTCCCTACAATTCCACAGGAAATTCCCTTTCCCTACAATTCCACAGGGAATTCCCTTTTCCCTACAATTCCACTGAGTCCTTTTCCCTACAATTCCACAGGGATTTTCCCTTTTCCTGCAATTCCACAGGGATTTTCCCTTTCCCCCGCCCTGGGAATTGCTGCTGGCACTGGGAAAACCTCTGGGATCACCCGGAATCCCGAACAACACCGGGAGTTTTCCTTGGAGGTTCAGCCACAAACGGAGGCAAATCCCCCAAATTAAGGCAGGAATCAAGGAAGGAAAATGCTTCCCTCGGGAAAAACTCCTGGAAATGGGAATCGGGAGAGCCGGAGGAGCTCAGGGCCGGGCTGGGATTGTTGGATTGTCCCGGGCAGGGCCGGGCTGGGATTGTGGGATTGTCCCGGGCAGGGCCGGGATTTGGACTCGATCATCCCTGCGGTTCCCTTCCAGCTCAGGCTGTTCCCAATTCCTTCATAATTCCTCCCAAATTCCCTTTCCCTTGGAGCTCCTGAGCTTTTCCAAGCGTTCCGTGAATTTGGGGGGGAGAATTCCCAAACCAGAGGCTGCAGAAGGAAAAAAAGGCTGGAAAATCCGAGTTTGGCAGCTTGGGGCGGCTGTAACCAAACACCTCCCGTAAAATCAACAAAGTCCGCAGGGGATTTGAGGGAAATCTTTTGTTTCCCTTTTTAAGGGTAAAAAAAAAAAAAAAAAAAAAAAAACCACAAAAAAAACCCACCAAAAAAAACCCAGGCCCGGGTTTAGCGGCTGGAGGGGCTGGGTTTGGGAATAAAAGAAGGGATCAGTGCTGATATTCCAGCAGGAAAAGGGGTTTGGAGACAGCAGAGCTGGAGGAGGTCACTGAGAAATTCATATTTAGAGATTTATTTCCATATAAACTGCCCGCAATTCCCGGGGATTCTGCTCATGAGCATCACCAGAGCTCCCGTGGGATCTTCCTCAGGAGATGGATTTGCCTTGGGGTGGCACAAGGTGAATTTTTAATCCCGTGTTCCCCACATCGGGGGGGTCCCGAGGCTGTTTTTTTCCCTTTTTGGAGTTGGTTTCCAAACAAAAACTCTGGAAGAACAACCAGAAATGAATCCGGTCCTCAGGAGAGGGTCTGCTCTAGCAGGCAGCTCCCTTCGTGGGTTTTCTTGGATTTGGGAAGGTTTTGCTCCTTTTGGGTGTTGTAAAAGGTGTTCAGGCTTCTTAATGAATTGAGGAATTAGTCCGAGGGTCAGGCTTAAACTTTCAGCCTTTTCCACGCCAGAATTCGCCTCTGGAGCTGCTCCCCCTGGCTTTAAAATCATCCCCGAGCTCTCGTGGGAGCCGCTTTGCAAAGCTGACAAAAAACGCCTTTGACATTTTCCCGTTCTCCGACGCGCTCAGGTTGCATCAAAGTGGAGCATAGGAAGACCCTTGAAATAAATTTAAACCCACCCAAACATTTTATTTTTCCGCTTTTTCCTTCTGCAAGCAGAGCCCAGGGCTGGGAATCGCTGCCACAAGCGAAGGGAAGCAGAGCTGGCACCGGGGCGCCAAGGATGCTCTCCCTAAAAAAACCCGGTGTGGACGCGTTTTGATCCCAAAATTCACTCTCGTCTCCAGATCCGGAGGAGGATCTGGGAGCAAAGAAAGGGAGGGAGGCGCTGAGGGGCGGCGGTGACCCCGCGGATCCGCGGGGAGCGGGAGGGACCGGGCGGCGGGAGCGGGAGGCGTAAACCGGGACCGGCTCTCCAATCAGCCCCGGGAGGTTTGGCCCGGGCCGGATAAATGCGGGGCCGGGCCGGGCGGGGATGGGGCGAGCCCGGGCACCGGGAAGAGCGGGGTTGGAGCACCGGGAGCACCGGGAGGAGCGGGGCAGGAGCACCGGGAGGAGCGGGGCAGGAGCACCGGGAGGAGCGGGGCAGGAACACCGGGAGGAGCGGGGCCGGAGCACCGGGAGCACCGGGAGGAGCGGGGCCGGAGCACCGGGAGCAGCGGGGCAGAAGCACCGGGAGGAGCGGGGCAGGAGCACCGGGAGGAGCGGGGCAGGAGCAGCGGGAGGAGCGGGGCCGGAGCACCGGGAGCACCGGGAGGAGCGGGGCAGGAGCACCGGGAGCACCGGGAAGAGCGGGACCCGCACCCCCCGGCCATGAGCGGCTCCCCCGGGGCAGCCCCGCAGCCCCGGGCCGGCCCCGCCAGGCCCCGCGCCTCCTTCCTCATCCAGGACATCCTCCGGGATGCGCCGGAGAACGGCCGCGCTCCCGGGAAAGCGGAGCTGGGAGAGGCCGGCCGGGAGAGCCCCGGGGCCGGGGCAGCCACGGGAGAGACCCCCGGGGGTCCCCGTGCCCCCGGAGCCGCGGGGACAGCGCAGGGACCGGGCGCAGGTAACGGGAGCGGGAGCGGGGAGAGGGGAGCGGAGCGGCCGCGCCGGGGTCGGGGTGGAGCGGGAAGGGAGCGGGGATGGAGCGGGAAGTGATCAGGAATGGATCGGGAAGTGATCAGGAATTCATAGGGAAGTGATCGGGAATGGATCGGGAATGGATCAGGGGTGGGATGGATTGGGAATGGATCAGGGATGGATCAGGGAAATGATCAGGAATGGATCGAGGATGGATCGGGAAATGATCAGGAATGGATCGGGGATGGAGCAGGAATGGATCGGGGATGGACTGGGGATGGATTGGGAAATAATTGGGAATAGATCAGGGCTGGGATGGAGCGGCAATTGATCAGGGATGGATCAGGAAATTATCGGGATGGATCAGAGATGGATCTCGAAAGTATCGGGAATGGATCGGGAATGGATCAGAGATGGATTGGGAAATGATTGGGAATAGATCAGGGCTGGGATGATTTGGGAATGGACCAGGGATGGATCAGGGATGGAGTGGGAATTGATCAGGGATGGATTGGGAAATTATCGGGAATGGATCGGGGATGGATCGGGAATGGATCAGGGATGGATTGGAAATGGATCAGGGATGGATCAGGGATGGATCAGGAATGGATCAGGGACTGATTGGAAATTGATTGGGGATGGATCAGGGAAATGATCGGGGATGGATCGGGGATGGATCGGGGATGGATCGGGGATGGATCAGGAATGGATCAGGAATGTTGGAGCTTGGGTCAGGGAATTGATCGGGAATATCTGAGTTTGGGTCAGGGAATGGGTCAGGAATATCTGAGCTTGGGTCAGGGATGGATCAGGAATATCTGAGCTTGGGTCAGGGAATTGATCAGGAATGTTGGAGCTTGGGTCAGGAATAGATCAGGAATATCTGAGCTTGGGTCAGGGATGGATCAGGAATATCTGAGCTCGGGTCAGGGATGGATCAGGATCCAGACCCGGCTGCTGGAGCCAGGCGCTCTCAGATTAAACTCAGGAGCTGGAGCAGGGCAGGATAAGGAATTCAGGGGCTGAGTGAAAACTTTCCCCAGTGCCCCAGAGGATTTTTGTCCAGGTAGAGATTTTTGTCCAGATGGGAATGTTTTTCCAAGTGGGAATTTTTGTCCAAGTGAGGATTTTTATCCAGGTGAGAATTTTTGTCCAAGTGGGGATTTTTATCCAGGTGGAGATTTTTGTCCTGGTGGGAATTTTTATCCAGGTGGAGAATTTTGTGGGAATTTTTATCCAAGTGGGGATATTCCTCCAGGTGGGGATTTTTATCCCAGTGTGGATTTTTCCAAGCGCTTCTTTCCCATTTTTCCCTCCGCAGAGGCCCCAGTGGAGCCGTTCCTGCCCGAGCGTCCCCCCACGGCCCCGCGGCCTCCCCGGCCGGGCAAACGCTCCCGAGCCGCCTTTTCCCACAGCCAGGTGATCGAGCTGGAGCGCAAATTCAGCCACCAGAAATACCTGTCGGCCCCAGAACGAGCCCACCTGGCCCGGCACCTGCAGCTCACCGAGACCCAGGTGAAGATCTGGTTCCAGAACAGGAGGTACAAGACCAAGAGGAAACAGGCGGTGGCCGGGATGAGCCGCTTGGACTCGCCTCAGGAAGCGCCAGAATTCCCGGGAATGTCGCTGCTGGCGCTCAGGAGCGCCTGGCCCTACCTGCCCTGCCTCTACTACGTCAATTCCTGGAGTCCTTCCTGGTAGAAATGGCTTTTTTGGGTGGAAAACATCTGGTTTTAACATCACTCCAAGGGGAGGGATTGCAGTGACAGCCTTTCGTAGCGGTAGAGAACGCTGTCCAAAGAAAAACCAAACCAAAATTTTGATTGCACTTAATTCAGTTTTTGATGGCAACGCTCTGGGAATTCCCAGAATTTGGGCCTGGAAGTGCCCAAATCCCGGCTGGAGCTGAGGGTCTCTGGCCTTACCTGCCCTGCCTCTACTACATCAATTCCTGGAGTCCCTCCTGGTAGAAATGGCTCTTTTGGGTGGAAAACATCTGGTTTTATCTTCAGGCCGAGGGGAGGGATTGCAGTGACAGCGTCTTGTAGCAACAGCGTGAAATTTCTCATCACTGACATTGAAATAACTGGAAAAAAGCCAAAAAATTTTAATTTCAGTGCTCTGGGAATTCCCAGGGAATCCGTGGCTGCTCCATCCCTAATCCCGGCTGGAGCTGAGGGTTTGGAGCCCCTCCTGGTACAAACGGCATTTTTAGGTGAAAAATATAATTTTTTCCCCTAAATTTGGGGTGGTTTAACTCTGTGTTGCTCTTCCTGGAGCAGATTGGGGGTGGGATTTTCAGAAATCACCAGAGAGAAACCAAAGCACTGTTTGAATTCCATTAAATTCAGTTTTTTATGGCAATGCTCTGGGAATTCCCAGGGAATCTGTGTCTGCTCCATCCCTGGCAGTGCCCAAATCCCGTCTGGATGGGGTTTGGAGCTGAGGGTGTCCGGCCTTACCTGCCCTGGGGAATTCCTGGAGCCCCTCCTGGTAAAAACTGCATTTTTGGGAAGGAAATCCTCAGTTTTTCCTTAATTTCAGAGCAGAGGGATTGGCAGTAGTGGCAGCTCAAAGTTTGCTCCTCACTAACACTGAAATAACCAAAAAAGCCCGACATTTTAATAACAATAAATTCATTTTTTGATGGCAATGCTATGGGAATTCCCAGGGAATCTGTGGCTGCTCCATCCCTAATCCAGCCTGGAGCTGAGGGTTTGGAGCCCCTCCTGGTACAAACTGCATTTTTAGGTGGAAAATATCTTTTTTTTCCCTAAATTTGGGGTGGTTTAACTCTGTGTTGCTCTTCCTCGAGCAGACTGGGGGTGGGATTTTTAGAAATAACCAGAGAAAAACCAAAGCACCATTTGAATTCCATTAAATTCAGTTTTTATGGCAATGCTCTGGGAATTCCCGGGGAATCTGTGTCTGCTCCATGCCTGGAAGTGCCCAAATCCCGGCTGGATGGGGATTGGAGCTGAGGGTGTCCGGCCTTACCTGCCCTGGGGAATTCCTGGAGCTCTTCCTGGTAAAAACTGCTTTTTTTGGGAGGAAAATCCCAGTTTTTCCTTAATTTCAGAGCAGAGGGATTGGCAGTAGTGGCAGCTCAAAGTTTGCTCCTCACTAACACTGAAATTACTAAAAATAAGCCCAAGATTTTAATAACAATTAATTCATTTTTTGATGGCAACTCCCTGAGAATTCCCAGGGAATCCGTGGCTGCTCCATCCCTAATCCAGGCTGGAGCTGAGGGTTTGGAGCCCCTCCTGGTACAAACTGCATTTTTAGGTGGAAAATATCATTTTTTCCCCCTAAATTTGGGGTGGTTTAACTCTGTGTTGCTCTTCCTCGAGCAGATTGGGGGTGGGATTTTCAGAAATAACCAGAGAGAAACCAAAGCACCATTTGAATCCCATTAAATTCAGTTTTTATGGCAATGCTCTGGGAATTCCCGGGGAATCTGTGGCTGCTCCATCCCTGGCAGTGCCCAAATCCCGTCTGGATGGGCTTTGGAGCTGAGGGTGTCCGGCCTTACCTGCCCTGGGGAATTCCCGGAGCCCCTCCTGGTACAAACTGCTTTTTTGGGAGGAAAATCCTCAGTTTTTCTTTAATTTCAGAGCAGAGGGATTGGCAGTAGTGGCAGCTCAAAGTTTGCTCCTCACTAACACTGAAATAACAAAAAAAGCCCAACATTTTAATAACAATTAATTCATTTTTTGATGGCAACACTCTGGGAATTCCCAGGGAATCCGTGGCTGCTCCATCCCTAATCCAGGCTGGAGCTGAGGGTTTGGAGCCTCTCCTGGTACAAACTGCATTTTTAGGTGGAAAATATCATTTTTTCCCCTAAATTTGGGGTGGTTTAACTCTGTGTTGCTCTTCCTCGAGCAGATTGGTGGTGGGATTTTCAGAAATCACCAGAGAGAAACCAAAGCACCATTAGAATTCCACTAAATTCAGTTTTTGATGGCAATGCTCTGGGAATTCCCGGGGAATCTGTGGCTGCTCCATCCCTGGCAGTGCCCAAATCCCGGCTGGATGGGGATTGGAGCTGAGGGAGTCCGGCCTTACCTGCCCTGGGGAATTCCTGGAGCCCCTCCTGGTACAAACTGCTTTTTTGGGAGGAAAATCCCAGTTTTTCCTTAATTTCAGAGCAGAGGGATTGACAGTAGTGGCAGCTCAAAGTTTGCTCCTCACTAACACTGAAATAACCAAAAAAGCCCAACATTTTAATAACAATTAATTCATTTTTTGATGGCAACACTCTGGGAATTCCCAGGGAATCCGTGGTTGCTCCATCCCTAATCCCGGCTGGAGCTGAGGGTTTGGAGCCCCTCCTGGTACAAACTGCATTTTTAGGTGGAAAATATCATTTTTTCCCCTAAATTTGGGGTGGTTTAACTCTGTGTTGCTCTTCCTCGAGCAGATTGGGGGTGGGATTTTCAGAAATAACCAGAGAGAAACCAAAGCACCATTAAAATTCCACTAAATTCAGTTTTTTATGGCAATGCTCTGGGAATTCCCGGGGAATCCGGGGCTGCTCCATCCCTGGCAGTGTCCCCAGCCGGAGGTGGCCCGGGTGCCACCCGGGAGGGACAATGGGACAATGACAGACGAGTTTTGCATATCCGGCTGCTGGCAAAACGGGAGCGGCCCCAGGGCTGGACCCAAGCCCGGCTGCAGGCGGAATTTGGGGCTTAAAATTGGATTTTTTCCAAGCTGGATCACCCCAAAATTCCATGGATCAACCCAATTCCCAGCGCTGGGTCACCAACAGCGACAGAAAGATGCCAACAAGTCGTTTTTAGGGAGAAAAAATTCCCATTTGCGCTTATAAAATAGTAAAAATGTAACATTTAAAAATCTAATTACATTTAAAGTGTTATCAATTCCATGGGAAAAGTGTGGGAATAAAGGCGATTTCCTTTATTATTTCCTTTTTACACTAGACATTAATGAATATTTTATTAAATATTTCCTGAATACTTCATTCTATATTTCCTGAATGCTTCCTTAAATGATTTTTAATGGATTTTCTCAGCTGGAAATGCATTTTCGCAGCTGGAGCAGCTCAGCAAAGCTCTGCTGGAGGAGATTTAATCCCCCGGGACTAAAATCCACTGAGGTTTATTCCCTGGAAAACTCCGGGAATGTTCCTCTGATTCCTGTTCTATCCATGAAAATCCCTCTTGGAGCCGGGAAACGCAGACAGCAAAAACGGGAAGGAACTGCCCGGATTTCCCCCTTTTTCCATGGGATTTTTTGGGATTTCTGCCCGTATTTTCCCCCTTTTCCACAGGATTTTTTGGGCGGATTTTCCCCTTTTTCCACAGGATTTTTTGGGATTTCTGCCCGGATTTTCCCCTTTTTCCACTGGATTTTTTGGGCGGATTTTCCCCTTTTTCCACAGGATTTTTTGGGATTTCTGCCCGGATTTTCCCCTTTTTTTCCCAAGATTTTTTGGGCTTTCTGCCCGGATTTTCCCCTTTTTCCACAGGATTTTTTGGGCGGATTTTCCCCTTTTTCCACGGGATTTTTTTGGGATTTCTGCCTGGATTTTCCCCTTTTTCCACAGGATTTTTTGGGCGGATTTTCCCCTTTTTTCACATGATTTTTTGGGCTTTCTGCCCGGATTTCCCCCTTTTTCCATGGGATTTCTGCCCGGATTTTCCCCTTTTTTCACAGGATTTTTTGGGATTTCTGCCCTGATTTCCCCCTTTTTCACAGGATTTTTTGGGATTTCTGCCCGGATTTTCCCCTTTTTCCACGGGATTTTTGGGGATTTCTGCCCGGATTTCCCCCTTTTCCACGGGATTTTTGGGATTTCTGCCTGGATTTTCCCCTTTTTCCACAGGATTTTTTGGGCGGATTTTCCCCTTTTTTCACATGATTTTTTGGGATTTCTGCCAGGATTTCCCCCTTTTCCGCAGGATTTTTTGGGATTTCTGCCTGGATTTTCCCCTTTTTCCACAGGATTTTTTTGGCAGATTTTCCCCTTTTTCCACGGAATTTTTTGGGATTTCTGCCCGGATTTTCCCCTTTTTCCACAGGATTTTTTGGGCGGACTTCCCCCTTTTTTTTTCCACATGATTTTTTGGGATTTCTGCTCGGATTTCCCCCTTTTCCACGGGATTTTTTTGGGGATTTCTCTTTTGCCTGGTGAATCCTCTGAGCTCCCAGGCAGAGGAGGCAAAAATTCCAGGGGTGAAATTCCAGGGGAAGGGAGGGCAGGGAGTGGAGGACACCCGAGCTCCGGAGCTGAGAATTTTCCTCTCGCTATCAGAATTTCTGGATAAATCGGAACTTTTGGAGGCCGAGCCGCGGCTTTGGGATTGTTTCAAACAAAAAAAAAGTAACTTTTTCCATCTGGCAGTGCCGGGATCCCGAATTCCAGAGGGAAGGGAGGAGATCTCCTCCGGGCCGCGGAATGTGCCGGCTCGGGAACAACAAAAATCCCTTTATTTGGGTTAAAAAACAGAATAAACTGAGCTGGGGGCGACCCCCGAGCGCCTCTGCGAGAACCCCGCGGCTTTGGCACCGAGCTTAGCTAAACCCGGCTCGGACATGAGTTTAACTAAACCCGGCTCGGACACCGAGCTTAACTAAACCTGGCACGGACACCGAGTTTACCTAAACCCGGCTCGGACACCGAGTTTAACTAAACCCGGCTCGGACACCGAGTTTAACTAAACCCGGCTCGGACAATGAGTTTAACTAAACCCGGCTCGGACACCGAGTTTAACTAAACCCGGCTCGGACACCGAGTTTAACTAAACCCGGCACAAACACCGAGTTTAAAACCAGCACGGACACCGAGTTTAGCTAAACCCGGCTTGGACACCGAGCTTAACTAAACCCGGCTCGGACACTGAGCTTAGCTAAACCCGGCACGGACACCGAGTTTAACTAAACCCGGCTCTGACACCGAGTTTAACTAAACCCGGCTCGGAAACCGAGTTTAACTAAACCTGGCACGGACACTGAGCTTAACTAAACCCGGCTCTGACACCGAGTTTAACTAAACCCGGCTTTGACACCGAGCTTAATTAAAACCGGCTCTGACACCGAGTTTAACTAAGCCCGGCTCTGACACCGAGCTTAGCTAAACCCGGCTCTGACACCGAGCTTAATTAAAACCGGCTCGGACACCGAGCTTAGCTAAACCCGGCTCTGACACCGAGTTTAGCTAAACCCGGCTCGGACACCGA